AAACGATTCAATAACGATAACACTAAGGTCTAACCGTGAACAACTCAATATAAAAGGATGCTATACTAACACTTAGCATGCAAGACTAGGCAATGAACACATTAATATAAGCATATAAGCACATAAGCATGTAAACAAGTAAACAGTTTAGCATGCTTTTGCACATAGCAAAACATTTTACCAATTAATCACATAAACTATGCGAATGACTTCCCATGTAACCCCTATGTAGGCCTTTACCCGTCATCCTAATGGTTTTCGAACCAAGGCTCAGATACCAAATTTGTAACGACCCTAAACTGAATACCGAAAATAATAAAAATTTTAAAAAAAATTCGGCATGACCTCCGCTAAAAATGGTCCTACAACAACCTATTCAAATGAAAAAAAACGACGACCTTTCAAAACCTATCCAACCTGCCCCAACACACAATACAAAAGAAATATAATGCATTCCCCAATACCACAACATCAACAACCATCCCAAATTAGCCCATCATCGTCATCCCCTTCAACTTACGCATTTACATGGTCTTAGTTTACAACAAAAATAAATCAAGTATCTTAGTTATGTTACAGGGCCATGATTTGGAAAAATAAATATTCTTTTACATAGTTTGAGACAATACAAAAAAAATGGGCTAAGGTACAAAAGAAAACAAAATACAACTCCTAATCTTCTTCAAGCTTATGGGGGATTGTCATCCGCCACTTCTTTTTCGAGTCCTGAAAAATGTTAATAATAGGGGTGAGCAAAGTTGCTCAGTAGGTAGTGCCTAAGGCACACCTCTTGAGACCCCGTGAATCCACACAATGAAAAAGAATAAGGAAATTAGGATCATACCATGCCGGGAGTAAAAGTATAACTACGATGCCACATCATTAATTCAATACCACAAATAAATATGCCATGCACTGAGATGCCGTGCCATGCAATGTCACTCCCCATTTTCCCAAAACCATTTCCATTATCATTTTCAAACCGTTAGTGAACCTGTCCCATGGAAACTCCATGGCATCACGAGAGGAAGATTGGCCACTGTCCATGTGATGTTTCCGATTTTCACCATTTTTCTCTTTTTCAGAAATTTTGTCACCGCATGGGCATTTTCGTCTTTTTACGTTTTGCGTACCGAACACCGTGGGGTGTGTCGGGTGTGTTGAATAATCGTTGGGAGCATTTTATTGAGCTCAACACTCTTTGAAATGCAAGGTTGGTCGTTTTAGCATTTTCAGTTTTTCGGGCCAAACGGTCCCGTGTAAGACCCGCTACCGATACTGTGGCATACGGGTATTTTGATTGGGTCCGTTTACATCATATTCATTTTTATTTATTGTGATTTAAGTGATTGCATGTTAGATGTGCATTTATATGTGTGTGTGCTGTAAAATGGAGCCAAAAAGAAAAAGAGAAAAGAAAAGAAAATTGGTGGGACCCACCACCACCAACTTAAAGACTTTGAGACCACATTTGGTCTCTATTTTCTCCCCCTCCTGCTGGTTCTTCTTCCTCCCTCTCTTTCTTGAGTTTTTCTTTTTTTCTTTTGAGACTTCAAACTTCAATTCTAGATCTCTCTCTCTTTACTTAGCGATTTTGAGTGTCGTTTGAGACAAAACGGAGAGCACGGTGAGCTCTACGCCTGTGTACCAGCAATTTCAGCTTTGGGACTCCCTAGAAATTCTGATAATCTAAACCCAATTTTGGGGGTTTTGCATCAATTGGAAGTAGGGGCCTCTAATTCCTACAATCTTGCACCTTTGTGAATTAATCTTACTCAATTGATGTCTTAGCATGCTAAATTATGATAATTGCTTTATAAATTGACTTATTTGTGTATAGGAAGTATGTGAGTATGGGTATTTAATTTAATTGTATGAAAGAGCATGTTTTATGTGCTAGATTATGTCGATTTTATTTTAAAATGGCTTAAATGTGTATATGAGGCATGTAAGTATGTGTATTATTATATTTGGATGTAAAGCATGTTTAAGTGCTAATTTCCTATGCTCATTTTGTTGTTAATTTGCTAGAAATATTATGTGAGAGCATGTGAAATTTTCTTATGTAGTTTAAGTTAAAGAATGATAAACTGTGTAGTGGGAATTCAATTCATTTTCATAGTAATGTCAAGTAGGGGATATGTATTCATAGCATTAGGCATGGGAAAATGGCAAAATGATTTGAAGTGAATGAAAAAGGGATTTTGGGGCAAAGTTTTGAGTAAAGTGATTTTATGAAAAACTCGGTTGCCGCGAAGTCATCAAAGGGCCGGTAGGTTAATGTAACCTAGAGAGAACTAGGGAGATTGCCCTAGCGTGGTTGAGCTATCTGGGCCCCATAATGACGCTACGGAGGTACTAACGGTCAAGAACAGTAGCCAATCTTTCTCTCGGCGCTGAGGGGGTACCAAAGAAGGTTACATTAACAGTTTGAAAGTGATGGTTTGAATGTTAAAAATGGGGAGTGACATCGGCATGCATTGCATTCCATAGAATTCCATTGTTTGAAATTGAGATTGGTTATTATATTGTGTTTTCCCGTCATAGTATGACCCCGGCTTCTATTGTTTTATTCTTTGTTTAGATTCACGGGAATACAAGAGGTGTGTCTTAGGTGCCGCCTACTGAGCAAATTGCTCACCCCATTATATTTAACATTTTTCAGGTCATGTCAAGGAACCGGCGGATGGTGATCCACCACAGATTTGAGGAAACTTGAAAGGAAATTTTTGAAGCATTTTGTAGAGTTAGAACTCTTTTATATAGCAACATGATCTGAAATGTACTAAATTCATTTGGCAAGTAAATTGTGTCATAACTTAAGGTTGCCTCCATTTTTGTTGTAAATTAAGGTAAACATAAAGACTATGTATAAGTTTATGTAATTCGAACCTAACAATGTCGGGATGTGTTCATGTATTGATACTCTTGTCTTTGAGCGTAGAATAACTCATTTTCTTGATGCTAGAACAAGTCCATAACCTTTGCAAAGTCCTCATTTCAGTTCCTCTTCATCTCCAAAGTACAACACCTCAGTTTCTGGAACAAGGCTAGAAGAAGCCATTTCGGTTGAAGTGTAACACCTCAATTTCTGGAACAGGGCTCGAAGAAGCCATTTCGGTCGACCGAAATGGCACATCGGTCCACTGAACCAAATGCATGCTCTCGGGATCTTAGGTTTCGGCCGACCGAAACAGCACTTCGGTCGACCGAAGTAAGTGAGCTCATTTCGGCCGACCGAAGCTCCACTTCGATCGACCGAAATGAATCAGTTAGGCCATTCCTCATCCCTTCTTCTGGTATTTATTATACTCAACAATGGATTGGGCTTTTGGAACTTCCTAAAGGTGAAATTCAAGTGTTATGATGATGTTTGATCCTTGGAAAGTCAAGTTTGACATAGATGACCTCGAGTTCGGGTAAGGACTCGGCTATCGGTTCGGGCCTCCGGGTTCGGGTCGTTGCAGTCCCTGACCCATGGCAACTCTATGGCGTCATTTGGGGCCCAGGTAACTTAACCACTCTAGGGCGGTCTCCCTAGTCCCTTTAGGCCTCACTAACGCCACGGTCCCTAAGCAACTCCTAGGCGGCCGGGTTTTTCACAAAAATCATTTTCAAAATTCTTTCCTAAAATTCATTTCCTTTCTTTCAAATCAATTTTTCCCATTCTTTCCCAATGAATGCATACATGTCTTGTGTATTTCAATGACATACCAATAAAGAAATTTTTATTTCTTACAAGTCATATATTTACAGTATACATGCCTTATAGGAATATTCTAGGAATTTACATCATGCTTCAAAATCATAAAATTCAGCATATAGGCATGAAATTTGACATCAATTTAACATGATCCTTTATCACATAACAACTAACATGTATATATACACATCTCATATACAACATATAACAAATATGAAAATAACACAAATTAGAACACAAATTAAACACAAATCATAAAAAATAATTCACCAAAATCTAAGAGATTGTGGATTAAATACCCCTACCTCAATTTAAGCCAAAACCCTCAATTTTTACCTCAAACCCTCAAAATGGGTCTCAATTTTCAGACTCCCTAGAATGGCCAAAAGCTGAAATTGCTGGTATGGATTTGAAGATCTCGTCGTGGGCTTCAATTTGCCGCAAACGGCACTTCAAAACACTAAGAAATGAGGGAGAAATCAAGCCTTGAATTTGTAAACTACAAAAAAAAAGGCAAAGAGATTGCCGAGAGAAAGACACAGACAGAGACGGGAGAGAAGGAATGAGATTACAGAGAGCTAAGAAAAACGTGGTCTTATGACCACTTAAACATTAGTGGGTCCCACCTATTTTTTATTTATTTATTTTATTATTTTTTTTTTCTCTTTTGCTTTTCTTTGTTTTGTTTTTTGTCTCTGTATATATATATATAAGCACACTATAATTACATATATATATATATATATATATATATATATATATATATATAAGAGAAACACAACCATTACAAAAATACTCTTGTCTCTTCTAATAATATCCTTATATATATATATATACACTCGTCGCATTAATTTAATTAGTTTTTTTTACTTATTTTTTATTCAGTTATAGAGGGAAAATTTAGTTTTTTGGGGCATTCAGGTTCTTATTTGCATCAAAATTGAATGTTAAGAAGATTTAGAACGTATAAGGGGTTATATACTCTATATGCATACCATAAGGGTGTTTTTTACCCATAACCCTATATTATATATATGAAAAGAGTTACAATTTAGTTATTTTACATTTAATTAATTTTTTAACCTATTTTTTAATTCAGTTATAGAGGGATATTTTTGTCTTTTTAGCATTCAGGTCCTTATTTACTCCAAAATTGAATGTTAGAGACTTATAATTAAAAGTACAAGGGTTATACACTCTATATGCATATTATAAGATATTTTTTGCTTGTGACCCTATATTTTTTTTTAATGTAATAGCATGCACATTTGCTTTTTTGACTCTACTTGTACTATGATGGATCTTTTGAAACTCATATCATTAACATCTAAACTCATATGTTTCAACAATTTGAATATATATACATGTAATTATTTTTTATAATCCATACTAACATCTTCTTTCTCAGACGATAATACAATATGATCTGCTCTTGGTACACAAACATGGAATTTACAATCCCAAAACATTTTAATAACTAGCTGCAGGCCCCAGCAGCAAACCCAATTCTTGAATTATGGACATCATAAGCGACCCTATATGTCTGCTGGTGAATGTTACCTATAATAGCGATGTCATCGTCAAACACGTTTGGTGCGAAAGTGAAGCACGTAATGCCCAACTCAGGCACATCGATTAGAAGGCTTTGAGGCTCAAGAGTGAGGTCAGCCCCTCCTTGAAACACCAACCGAATCTCGGGCACATCTGACTGCATATTCTTCACACTTCCTTGGTAACACATATGAAATATGTCAAAATTCCCCGCAGGCTCGTGGTTTAATAAAACCATGATCTCAGTGACCACATTAACCAAATTATAATATAATAACATAGGCACGCGCGTGACTTCCGTCCCAGAATCTATAACCATTAGGTTATACTTTGTTGGCACTGCCATTGTCCTGCCTGCCACTACAATCGCGATCAAATTTAAATAGTACAAGCTGTTGTCTCTAGAATTTGTAATCATTGGAGTGAACTTGTACGAGTATTCCATCAATGAATCGGTTCCTATGGATAATGAGCCTCCACTGCTTCCACTCGCTGATGGGAGGCAGTAGGAGAAGGCATTTCCATAGTTGGCAGACAGCTGAGAGAGCATGGAGAGCTCGTTTCGAGCCAGGCCAAAAAGACCAGCAAACTCACTCCTAAACCCTTCAATGTGCTGCCCACACCCGCACACGAAACCAGTCAGTGTTTCTGATTGTGTTAGGGTCAGTGAATCCTGAATCAAGTAGCCACTGGAGAAAGAGTCGTCGCCATAGGTAGCATTGTACAAGCACGTGTTAAGAGAAATGCAATTAGGGCCGTTTGGAGTGACATCCTTGAGTGCATTGCACTCTGGTGTAGTGCACGGTACTAATTTGAAGGTGCTGGATGAAGGGGGATCAAAAAAGGGGCGGACCTGTTCGTTGCACCCCGGGCAAGACTGGCATTGCAGCCAGGACAAGGAGCTGCCTGTGTCGACAATTACGTGGTAGTAGGTGGGTGGAGTGCCAAGGCCAACTTCGATATAGTAATTGCCCGTACCAATACCAATAGGCAGACCAAGGTTCAAGGGTCCAAATAGATGTTCTGAGTTGTGTGAGGTGGAATTTGCGACACTGCTTGTTCTATTGATCTTAGTGAGTCTGGAGTTGAGATGCTTAACTCGTGCTTTATCCCGAGATAGTAACTCAGAGATGGATGGTGGAGAATGGGAGGTCAGAGGTGATTCAGGTCCAAACACATGATACAAGGTCAATTGCAAAGTTGAACGGTTGAGTCCTTGCTCAGCTTCTGCTCAAAAAATGAGAAATACAAGAAAGTTTATTAATGTCCCTTTTTGGCTATGAATATTATAACGCACAAAGTATAATATTTAGATAGTTTTATTTACAGAAAAAAAAAAAATATTATATAGTAAGATTGTTCCATTGCGACTTGAGGTCACAATTTCGAAATAAGAAAATGATCTCTCCTTCAAACTATACACTGGTGGAAGTCTGGTTGGACTGATGTGCTCTTATATAATATAAATATTATAGTCATTCCCAATCATTAAAATCCATGGAATTAGAGGAATACATCTGATATGTGAACAAAGAAATATAATATATACACACACACAAGCGTGTGTGTATGTATGAAATGAATCAAATGATGCAAAGAGTATAGGGAATTAACCAAATGAGATAACCACATCACATGCCTTGATGCCCTGCAAATGAAGATGTTGCAAGCAGAAGAAGAGAAGCAAGGAAGCAAAGCAATCCCATTTCTCTTACACCTTTTGAAATGCTTCAAGTAGATTTCATGAATACATATATATATCACTCGAAAGCACAATTTTGGGACGACTTGGGTCTTCTTACAACCCAATGCACAAGTTTGGGACAATTTGGAGTGTCACATACGCCCATGAACAAGTTTGGAAGGACTTGGGTATTCACATGGAATTTTTTTTGAAAGGTAACTGGTCTGAACTTTCTGGACCATGAGATGCACGCGGGTTGAATCATAATAAACGACTGTCTCTCATTGGGAGAGACTTACCATTTTTTCAGCAGATGATTGTGCATTCACAAAATGCATATGGTGGGACCGCACCACTTTGTATCCCGTGGGATGCAAAGGTTTCCCCTGAATCTTCTGCCTAAATATCAATATCATTTTCATTTCTTTAGTCATTTATGCGAAAATGGTAACGAGGACAAAGTCAAGTGCAACATTAATGCAAGTAAATTAAAATTAATAGCATGTAACCTTCCTAATGTATAAAATTTTCATTTTTCATCTTTCCAAATATTGTTATTTATTGCACGTCTGTATTTATAATGTGATCCGACAATTTGAAGATGAAATTATTTTTCTTAATTCGTTCTAACATCTTCTTTGTTATAACACAATCTTCATATACAAACTTAGGATCTATGATCCCAAATAAGAACAATTTAGGGTCTTGGGATCTTCATCTATCATATATAAAGGGTCGTTGCAGAGTGTCCTCATGACTCCTTTTTCATGAGATGCCATAATGTTTAATAGATGAGATAAAGTTACTGTCATTTAAATAACTAGCTGCAGCCCCCAGCAGCAAACCCGATTCTTGAATTTGAGACATCATAAGCCACACTATATGTCTGTTGCTGTGTGTTTCCAATAATGGCGATTCCATCACTGGCCGAGTTTCCTATGAAGGCCAAGCATGTAATATTCTCCTCAGCAATATCGTACAGAATGTTGTGAGGCGCAAGAGTGAGGTAGGCCTCTCCTTGAAACACCATCCGAACCTCAGGCACATCTGACATCTCCTTCAAACTCCCTTTATAACATGTGTCGAGAAGGCTATATGCGGGGGCAGTCTTGTGCTTTGAGGACATGATCTTTGTGAATTCATCACGGAGAACTGCATATACTGACATAGGAAGGCGGGTGATCACCGTCCCAGAATCTATGATTGTTGGAGCCTTGTACTCTGCCCCTGTCACCCCCAGTGTCCTGCCTGCCACTGCAATTGCAGACAAACTCAAAAAGTACAAGCTGCTCTCTCGGGAATTAGTAAGCATTGGAGTGAACTTATAGGATGATCCCATCAATGAATCCCTTCCTATGGTCAATGAGCCTCCACTGCCTCCTTTCGCTGTTGGGAGGCAGTAGGAGAAGGCATATCCATATTTGGCTGACAGCTGAGAGATCATGGAGAGCTTGTTACGAGCCAGGCCAAAAAGACCAGCAGACTTACCAAAATATCCTTCATTGTCCTGCCCACACCCGTACACAAAACCAGGCAGTGTTTCTGTTTGTGTTAGGCTAAGTGAATCCTGACTCAAGTAGCCACTGGAGAAAGATTTGTCCCCATAGCTAGCCAGGTACACACACTCATTAGAAGAAGTGCAAGCAGGGTCATTCAAAGTGGCTTCCTTGAGTGAATTGCACTCGGGTGTTGTGCACGATAACTTTTTGTTGGTGCTGGATGCAGTGGGATCAAAGTAGGGAACGACCTGTGGATGGCAGTATCCGAGGCAAGGCTGGCATTGCAGCCAGGAGAAGGAGCTGCCCGTGTCGACAAGCACGGGATAGTAACTCGGTGGAGTACCAAGTCCAATCTTGACATAGTAATTGCCAGCACCAATGGACAGACCAGGGTTCAAGGGTGTGCTGATGAACTTTGGTCCAAAAAGGTGTTCCGATTTGTGTGAGGCGGAGTTTGTGACACCACTTGTTCTAGTCTTAGTGAATCTGGAGTTTAGATGCTTAACTCGTGCTTGGTCATGAGAAAGTGACTCAGAAAAGGATGGCGGAGACTGGGAGGTCATAGGCGAGCCATGTCCTTGCACATGATACAAGGTCAAGTGCAAAGCTGAATGGTGGAGTCCTTGCTCAGCTTCTGCCCAAAAAAGAGAAATAGAAGAAAGTTAATTAATGTCCCTTTTCAGCTATGATTTCTATGAATAGTATGCACAATATATAATATTTATATGGTCATTCCCAATCAATAAAATTCATGGAATCAGAGGATTACATCCTACATGTGAACAAAGAAAATGTTAAACTATTGAACCAAATGAGAGAACAACATGCCTTGATGCCCTGCAAATGAAGATGTTGCAAGCAAGAAAAGAGAGGAGAGGAACCAAACCAACCCCATTTCTCCTACACCTTTTGGAATGCTTTATTAGTTTAAGTAGATTTTAAGTAATCATTCTCTTCAGATATATATATATATATATATCTCACACACACACACACAAGTGGAAAAACAAAAGTTTTTGTTTTAATAATAATTCTGAGACAACTTGATTCTTCAGATAACTCCTAGTGGTCCCAAATCACAGATTGATACTTGAATGGTATAACCAAACTATGATGTCTAAATTAAGGGGTACATTCCACGATTAGAAATCCCAAATGTCTCTTCTGCAATAAAAATCAGCAACTACTGGTATAGTTCACCAACAAGAAAGAAGAAAATCATATGCACCTTCACCTCAAAATGATAGGAAACTAATTTATCATATAATTAAGATCTTCTTGTGTGTGTGTGTGTCTATTGTATAACAATTTTTCTACCAGAAATGGATTCCAAGTAATTTTGAACAATCTTCACATGTTTTATTAGTTAAAACCTTCTATCAGTCCTCAAAGTTTGAAAAAGTGTTTCATTTTTCAAACTTTTTTCCCCTTTCATCTTCAAGTTGCAAATTCCTTGGTGAGCAGGTTTGTTCTTTAGTTCTGTCTTCTTTTTTTACATCATCAAGTCTTTTTTAGTATTATTATTATTAGGAAAAATATTGTAACAAGCTTGTAAGTTTATCTCTCAGTCCTAATGTTTCAAACTATTCACCTAAAGAAATAAATTTTTTTTTTCTTCCTAATTTCTGCTATTGAAATTACTCCATAGTAGGTAATTATGCTGCTTTCACATGCATATTATTGCTCCATGTGCAACAAACTAGTAAGAGACTGAAGGTCCGTTGATTATGTAGATTACTCATAGCATATGAGGTCCCCAGTGCCGGCTTTGTCCTTCCTCGTCATATCTATTCAAATTGAGACTGACCCATGAGCTCCAATAATTCACTTAAAACTGTGAGGTTATGAGAGCATGATGTGAGTACCTCAAATGCGACTTCTCAGCAACTGCATTTAACATAGAGCTACCAAAAATTTAATTTTTCGTGTTATATTAGGAGAATTGGTTGCATAAAACTTCTCTAAACTATTAAAAATTTGCATACCCCTGGACAAAAATTTTAGTACTAAATATCATATATATGTGTATATATATATATATATATATATATATATAGACACCCCCTTCCATCAAGTTACAACTTACAATTAGTCAAAGAATTAGGATTTTTAAAAAAGAAAAAAGAAATTCAAATTTATCCTTTTGAATTAATTGCACAAACACCCATTAATTAGTAAGAAATTTGCATATTACTCCATGTTCAAGGGATAATTTACAAAAAAAAAATTTATAGTTCAAAGGAGTTTGTGCTGAAGAGTAATTTCATAACTTTTAGGCACATTTAACAGTCACCTAATGACAATTAAGCTGTTTGCCTTATTTGTAATTTTTCTATAGTTCAAGAAGGTTAAATTTAATTTTAAGTGGACACAAGCAAATTTATGCAGTTCATAGGTTTTATGAGCAATTACACTCTTAAATTATTATTATTATTATTATTATTATTATTATTATTATTATTTATCACAACGATAACTCTAAAACCTCGGTCATTCATAGTTTTGCGCTTGCAAACAACACTATATTCTTGTGTTGTTGAAGCAAACATTCACAAGCACACTCACAATATTGCTTCTAACAAGTCAACTCTCAACTTCTTCTTTAGAGGAAAGAGATCATACTGTCTGAACTAAGGCCCATTAATAACACAACTCAATTATCTTATGCCACTAGAGTTGAAAGCTCTTTCACGAATAACTTTTAACATGGGACAGGACTTGCTTACTTATCAGTGAGTCGGTCATCCTTATTCATAGTAGATGTGATTCAATCACAAATGCACAAATAGTCTATCATTACAAAATTAGGAAAGTGATAAATAAGGTGAATAACTTTTCTTTGGAATAAATTCAGTCATTCTCTTCTTTTTTTTCCTTAGTTGGTACTCACACACACATGTCTCTTCTGAGAATTGAACCCCAAAGGTAAGAGGCCGATAATGCTAAGTCACTGTCCCGTTGGTATTCAGTCATTCTCTAAGTCACATAAAGTGGGGCGAGAGTGAGAGCGAGAGCGAATTCAAAAGCGGGAGCGTGAAAACTGCAAAATTAAGTTAGAAATAGCGAGAATTTGAGTGAGAGCGTGCGCGGAGTGTGAGAGCGAGAACGAAAGCGCGTTCGAAGCGTGAGAGCGATACCTGTTGAGAAAGATCGTATGACTTAGGTCATTCTTTCTGATTTTCTTTGTTGATTATCAAAGATAAAAAAAAAAACAAAGATATAATATGAAAGAATATATTGAATTGTTGTAATGATAATGATACAAAACAGGTATAAATAAGCTAACAACAAACGGCTAGTAGATCACTATTACAACAACTATATAATGTAATTATGGTGGCAATATAAACAACGGCTATACAACAACTATATAATGTAATTATGGTAGCAATATAAACAACGGCTATAATATAATCTAGTTATGTTAACTCCCCCCCCCCCCCCCCCGCCCCCAAACTCAAGGCGGTATAGCAAAAACCAACTTGAGTTTGGAGAGAAAATCTGGAGCGGAAAGCGATACTGGAGTTGTGAAGATCCGATACGTTGAGGTGCTTAAAAACACATGATAAACCACTTATGGCAAGTGTGGTAGCCTTGAGAAAGCTGTTGAAAGCAAATATTAGAGTGGAATCATAGAGTGGAATTTACCACTTGAGAGACGCATGGATGCGTATGACAAAGTGGGATTACCGCTTGATAGAGTAGTATAACCACTTCAGATGCGCACAGGCACATAAAGACCACTTTACGGCAGATGTGGTAGCCATGAGCTCTTGAAAGCGAATAATAGAATGGAATTAAAGAATGGATTTACCACTTGGGTGCTTGGGAGCACGACGCACAAATGCGTATGACAGAGCGGGATTACCGCTTGATAGAATGGTATAACCACTTGAGATACTTGGGAGCACGCTGAGAATGCTTAGAAGCAC